AAACGCGCTGAAGGGTACTATTTATGTCAAAATTATAGACTATACTCTTACAACATCCTAGAAATAAGACTAATGTAATAGGGCTATTTTTGAGTCCTTAGGAGTGGTGAGATGACAGGTGATTTTCATCTCTTCTATTTTGTGCCTCTGGATTTCCTGAAACGTGTTACTTATGTAATCAATAAATTACCTCAGAAAAGGAAAAAAATGTTGCTGTGGAAAAGTGAGCAATGTGTCGGGAGGTGTGGATATCAAGGTACAAGAGAGGATGAGGAGCCAGTGGGTGAAGGACCTTGAATCCCAGGCTAAGGATCACGATTTAGATTACACCACCAGTGATGTTAGAGGAAAGGCAACTTTGAAATAATCAAAAGACCATTTTACCAAACACCAGAGCTTTAGAAAGATAGGGGCTCAAAGCATCTAGTCTAGTGGTTCTCACCGTCTGGACAAGACCACAAGGCTGTCTCATTCATGCCAGTGTTCAGGTTACACAGCACAAAAGGGTACTGCACTGGAGTACCTGAACATGGAGTACCTGACTGTTGAGTACCTGAACATTCCTCACTTGTTAACATCTTCATTACTTTGTAGTTTTCAGCTTTCTTATCTGTGATGGGCAGTGTATGTTACAACAATGTTTCCAGCAGATGGCTGAAGCATTTATTGCTCCAACAAGATCAGCCCATTACAAGAACTTTTGGATAGAAACATAGTGTCTTGCTTACGAAGTTGACATATCTCATTCCCCTCAGAATTACAAACGGGGAAGTGGCTTGATAATTGAAATACTTTATCAATGTAGCAACAACTAACATAAATTGTGTCTCTAAATAAGTAGTCATTTTTCCTTTTTTTTTTTTTTTTTTGAGACAGAGCCTCAAGCTGTCGCCCTGGGTAGAGTGCCATGACATCACAGCTCACAGCAACCTCCAACTCCTGGGACTACAGACGCCTGCCACAATGCCTGGCTATTTTTGATTGCAGCTGTCATTGTCGTTTGGCAGGCCAGGCTGGATTCGAACCCGCCAGCTCAGGTGTATGTGGCTGGCACTTTAGCCACTTGAGCCACAGGCATCAAGCCTTCTTCTTCTTCTTCTTCTTTTTTTTTTTTTAGAGACAGAGTCTCACTTTATCACCCTGGCGTCACACAGCTCACAGCAACCTCCAACTTCTGGGCTTAAGAGATTCTCTTCCCTCAGCCTCCCAAGCAGCTGGGATTACAGGTACCCACCACAATGTCCAGCTATTTTTTTGTTGCAGTTTGGCTGGGGCTGGGTTTGAACCTGCTATCCTCGGTATATGGGACTGGCAACCTACACAATGAGCCACAGGCACTGCCCAAATAGTCATTTTTCTATCTGCTATAAATTACTTCTTTAATTAAAAAAAAAAAAATTCCCGGGAGGTGTCTGTGGCTCAAGGAATAGGGCACCAGCTCTATATGCCAGAGGTGGTGGGTTCAAACCCAGCCCTGGCCAAAAAATGCAAAAAAATAAAAATAAAAATAAAAAATAAAAATAAATAAATAAAAATTCCCTATCAGATTAGTATACTGGCTACATTATACCAGTCTTCTACTAGGGTGTTATTAATGATTCCCCTTTATGATGACATGAATCACTGTATGATTCTTAATATTCATTTACCATTAATAACATATAAATTAAATATCACATTGCCATATATTGCTTTTGTTTACTAAGGAGGTTTTACCAGTACTAAAAGTTGTTAAAATGTGGCTGTTACAAAGTTACTTTATGATGACATGAATCACTGTATGATTCTTAATATTCATTTACCATTAATAACATATAAATTAAATATTACATTGCCATATATTGCTTTTGTTTACTAAGGAGGTTTTACAAGAACTAAAAGTTGTTAAAATGTGGCTGTTACAAAGTACTTTAAAATTGTAAATATTCTAAGATAAAGCTCTACTGTGTCATAAGAAAGACTATCAAATCTAGTGACCATTTCTAAAAAAAATGACATCCAGAGGCAGAAAGATTCAAACTATCATAAAGAATACAGTTTATTATAGCAAACACATAAATGTCTTAAAATAAATTTTATCTTAAAAAGGTGAATGTTTAGGATTTCATAAACACTATTGTTTTATGTCTAATAGTGAGATTTGTACAATTTATATGGGATGGCTTTATATTTACTATAATTACTATTGAGAAATATATACAAGTTTATGTGGAATTGTTTCTCTTGAATACGGGGGGCCTTCTAATTTGTGCAATAGTGAGATGTGCTAACAACAGATTTGCACATGATATGTGAAAAATTGTGAGCTTTATAATTAATAATCTGTAATTGATACAAGTTAAAGTGCTGCCATGTGTCACTGAGTTGCTTCTTCTACAAAGCAGGACAGATTCAAAGTTATGCCTGTGATGTCAGCATTCTCTCTCACTAGCATTCAAATGAGCTTTCCAGAGTGGAGAATGGGACTCTGTAACAGTGGACAGACTGGGCATCCTATACAACCTGCAGACTAACTCACCACTGATACCAACTGTGAGCATCACGAGGATTAATAAGGTTATTCCACTAGTAGATTTTGTCAAAATACAGGTTGCACTCATTGGACTATGTCACTTATGTGAATGTAATTTAAAGCATACCATATGAGAAAAAGACTAATCACTTCAGATGTCATCTAATGCCTTCGTCTTACAAATGAGGAAAATAATGTTCCAAATTTTGTTAAGTCTCCTAAATTAATTTCCCTTGCTATGCAAAAACCTCTTTTTAAAGCAACTATCATAGTGATGATGATAACTACTTACTGAGTGCCAAGGGCTATGCTGGACATTTTCTTATGTGTTAGCTTATTTGTAAGATGCAAGAGAATTAGATACAAAATCCCTAAATCACAGAAGAAAAAGCCAAGGTTTGGAGAAGTTAAGGCAGAACTGGTTTAAAAACCTAGATCTTTCTTTAACTGCAGAGCCTGTGCCCTTTCCATTGCCTTGCTGCCTACAGTAACCAAACAAGGACAATCTATTAAAATGTAGGGCAGCCTATGGGGACAATGCACAAATACCAGCAAACTGTGGGGAAGAGACCACACCATCCTGAGACCACTGAATGCAGTAATGTTTCAGAAAGGAATTCGGTGGGGGCCACCTGCCACATCTTTCTTTGCACATGTCAGGTCCCTGAGACAGGCATTTCTCAGCAAGACTCTAGCTCTGCTTTAGTGCTGGGTCAAAGGAGCACAGGATTGGGGCTGCTCACATAGGAATGAAGAGGAAGAATGGAAGGGAGGGGTGAGGCAGTCGCTGAATTACCAAATTGACCTTGACTTTTACTGCTTCTTAGCTTCTGCTTTCTGAGTTACTGCTGTTATTTACTCCTATGGCCCCCCAAGGTATCCACCAGCACCAGCAATTACCTAAAAGAAGATGTTACTCTCTCCAAAACTCCCAAGTGTGTGTAACTCAATCAGTTCCTTGCTATACTGGCCTCAACCATTCTTGGGTTCTAATGAGATAAAGAATTTGTTTTTAAAGGATATGTTTAGTTGCCTGAATCATTTTAGGGGAATGATTAGTAAATTTTCCCAGTCTCTCATTTCCAAATCAAAATTTCCTATCCTGGCACTTTTTAAAAATCTCTTTGTAAGTATATTTTATGGAAATATTTACCCAGCACATCCATCAAAGCCATAAGATTTTAAAGATAAAACAGATCTGGAGTTTACACAATGCAGATTCTTTTGGAAATTCTTAATAAAAATCAGATGTGTGGGAGGAGGCAAGTTTTTGAAAACTGCCAAAATGTAGACACTGCAGGTCAACTTCCAAGCTTACCCTGGATTCAGAGAAGCACCTCCCACTAACTCACATTCTGTTGCCATTGTAATCACTTGCCCTCATTTCCAAGGTATTATCACCTAATTAGCATAATCTTCTGATAAGATGTACTAATAATCTAAATTAGAAGAAGACAGAACCCATGTCAATGGTTTTTGAATTGTTAATTGCCAGTGGACTTGACCTGCTATAAGTGCCAGAAGTGTCTGTTTCTTCTCTACAAAAGATATCTTTAAGAAAATAAAACTGAAAAAGAGTTTATGCTTCCTTTGAAGGATTGAACTGCAATAATGGATTTACAAACTTGGAATTTTTACAGCCTATGGGTTGGCGTCAATTGCTTTTGGTTAAGCATTCTCTTTATATTTGCAAAAAACAGTTTAGCCTCTGAAGGTAAAATTCCTTCCAAAGTTTTGTTAAACAGAGAAGATAAAATTAAAGTACAATGTTTAAAAAGCTAGAATAAAGCACAAATGTGAGGTAGATGTACACAAAGAAACTGGTCTCATCTACATAATATATTATGTAGATATAAATATGTTATGCAGACATAAAGCAAGTTGCTAAAATGCCAAAAAGTAGCTTTCAGGAATAAAATGTTACTATTAGTTTCATAGACATTTCTCATAATCCATTATTAACTAATCTCATAGAAAAATTCAAAATTAGAAGTATATTTCACATAACCAGAAAGAAAAATGGTTTGTATTTCTGATGTTAGCATCAATGTTAAAAATAACCTCTGTCAAATCATAAAATTGCAACTTTATAATCATTCTTTGTCAGAAAATACTGCTGACTAACAGTCCATTAAAATTAATTTTAAAATGTCAGCAGAGTGCAGTAGAAATATAAGGTGCTTCCTATGGAAATTCACAATGGCTCCTCAAGTTCCATGTACTCTTAGGCACTGCTTCTGTCTACATAAAAATGCTGGGAGTTCAAGTTGAAGTTTTTCTAACTGGACAATAATTTGTCTGAAGAGTGAATGGCAGCTGTCCTCAAATAGCTGTTTGATCAGCACCCGCAATAATCTTACCAGAATGTCTATGCTCCTGCAAGAGCTTCTAACTTGTCTGAACACTAGGGACTCTTCTAATTCCTCTCTGGCCACAGGAGGTGATAAATGCCTGAACAGCGGGGAGCCAGCAGGTATGATGTTCTTACCTTTCACTGTTCTTTTTGCCACTGGAAGAACTGCTGGTGGAACCTGTCCGATTCCGGTTTCCCTTGGAGTCACCATTGTTCTCCCTGCGACCACCAGGAGATACTCTTTCCGAAGAGCTGGTCCGCTTGATGCTACCAAAGATACATAAAAGTAAATGACAATGAAACCCTTAGTGTTGGGTTTTATTTTGGGGCCAAGTATAAAAATATATACATAGAGACGGCCACAACTTTCATGTGGATATTCAAAAGATGGATTAGTTAAATAATACTAATTATATTGGCTAGGCACCTGTAGCTCAGTGGCTAGGGTGCCAAATACATACACCAAACCTGCTGGGTTCAGATCCAGCCCAGGGCCTGCCAAACAACAATGACAACTGCAACAAAAATAGCCCGGCATTGTGGCGGGTGCCTGTAGTCCCTGCTACTGGGAAGGCTGAGGCGAGAGAGTCGCTTAAATCTAAGAGCTTGAGGTTGCTGTGAGCTGTGATCTCATAGCACTCTACCGAGGACAACATTGTAAGACCCTGTCTCAACAACAACAACAACAAAAGAATCATTCTGTCTGCTTACTGTCTTTGTAACTTATGCAATTAGCACAGTTCAAAGTCATAGAGAGAACTGTGACTTTAAGATCACTAAAATTGGTTCGGTGCCTGTAGCTCAGTGGCTAGGGCGCCAGCCACATATACTAGGGCTGGTAGGTTTGAATCCGGCCCGGTTCTGCCAAACAACGACAACTACAACAACAATCAGGCGTTGTGGCAGGCGCCTGTAGTCCCAGCTATTTGGGAGGCTGAGTCAAGAGAATTGCTTAAACTCCAGAGTTTGAGGTTGCTGTGAGCTGTGATGCCACAACACTCTACCAAGGTGACATAGTGAGACTTTGTCTCCAAGAAAAAAAAAAATCACTAAAATACCGTGCGTGAGCCCTCCAGGGGCTTAGAGGGATGTGATCTTGATCTCGAGTAGGCTCTGGTCTAGACTAGAGGTTCTCAACCTCCTAATGCTGCAAACCTTTAATACAATTCCTCATGTTGTGGTGACCCCCAACCATAAAATTATTATCATTGCTACTTCATAACTATTATTTTGCTACTGTTATGAATCGTAATGTAAATATCTGATATACAGGATGTATTTAGGCGAGCCCTGTGAAAGGGTCATTCAACCCCCAAAGGGGTCGTGACCCACAGGTTGAGAACCACTGGTCTAGCAAGTGGCAGCAAGCTGGGGGTGACGTTATCCTGAGGAGACATCTAACAATGTCTGGAGACATTTTTGGTTGTCACAGCTAGGGGAGAGGCTGCTACTAGCACATGGTAGGTTGAGGCGAGGGATGCTGTGAAACCCCCTACAGTACCCAGGACAGCCCCCACAAATAAGAGTCATCCACTGAAATATCAACAGCACCAATATTGAAGAACTCTGGCCTAATGGCACCTGTGGGGCAAACAAAATAGGATGCCCTAGTTATGAAAGGAGCAATCCACCATATATGAAATCTTTGTTTAAAGTGGTGCCCACATAAATGCTCAACTTCATTCTATATAACCAGGGGGGCTACAGTGGTTAGCAGCCTGAGAGGGGAGCCCTGAGGTTCCTGAAGACTGAGTTTCTGGGAAAGATCCCATGAATGGCTTGATGTGTTTTTGTCACAAAGATGAGAAGAGCCTGCTCTAGGGAAAGGAATACCCTTTACACAGGTAATTCACAGACATGAGGGTAAACCAGAGCCAAGGCATGGGGTGAACACCGATCATTCCCCTCACAGAGTACTCTATGTACTGAATGTGTCCCCCCCAAATTCATATGTTGAAATCTTAACCCCTCAGTGTGATGGGGTTAGGAGTCAGGGCATCTGGGAGATAATCAGGTGATGAGGGTAGAGTCCTCAAGATGAGATTAGTGTCCTATAAAAGGGACCCCAGAGAGCTGCCATGTGAGAAGACAACAGCCCACAGCCTGGAATAGGGCCTTCCCCAGAACCTGACCGTGCTGGTTCCCTGATCTCAGACTTCCAGCCTCCAGAACTGTGAGAAATTTCTGTTGTTTATAAACTACCCAGTCTATGGCACTTTGTTATAGCAGCCAAAACTCACTAAGATAGAGCATACAACTGTACTATAGGTATCTCTGCAATTTTTTAAAAATCTTCATTATTAGTCCATACGTTTCTTGAGAGCTTATCACATATGTCATTTTGCCTACTTTGCAGAGCCTCATATAGAAATTTGATACATATTTATGAAATAAAAGGATGGAATAAATGGAAATATGGCACACTAACCCTGTCACAAGAAGAAACACTAACTGCCTTTTTTTTTTTTTTTTAAAGAGACTGGGTCTCACTCTGTCGCCAGTCTGGAGTGCAGTGATGCAATCATAGACTAACTGCTTTAATGCAGCACCTGCTCTGAAAACAAGAAGGAGGGGAAGGATGCTAGAGCTGGTCCAGGACCAGGGCTCTGGGAAGAGACACACAGGTGGGTGAGTCTGGTCTGGACACATAGAACTTGGAGGTATGGGTGGGTGAAAATACAAGTCTGCAACTTGTGAGATGGTACAGGACAGGATCTGCCCATCTGGTGGGCACTGAGCCACAGATGTAGAAGAAATCACCAAGGGAGGAGAATGAGAAAAGTCCCCAGAGAAAGATTTTTTTTTTTTTGAGACAGAGCCTCAAGCTGTCACCCTGGGTAGTGTCGTGGCATCACAGCTCACAGCAACCTCCAACTCCTGGACTCAAGTGAGTCTCCTGCCTCCACCTCCCAAGTAGCTGGAACTACGGGTGCCTGCCACAATGCCTGGCTATTTTTTTGATTGCAGCCATCATTGTTGTTTGGTGGGCCTGGGCTAGATTCGAACCTGCCAGCTCTGATGTATGTGGCTGGCGCCCTAGCAGCTTGAGCCACAGGTGCCGAGCCGAAGAGTGATTTTTTTTAAATATATGGGCTGATAAACTACCATGGGAGTCTAGGGTATCAGAGACACCGGGAGAGAGTGGTGGGCAGAGATAGGCACATGCATGGGACTGGTGAAGGTGTACTGGGTGCTCAGCAGAAAGTGGGCGAGGATTGGCAGTGAGGAGGGCAGTGAGCCCTTAGGTGGCTTGAGTGACCACAGCCCCAGGGGAGGGCATATAAACACCCACTTCAATGAGGAGTATGCTGGAGCCGAGGAACTTAAGACAGGAGACTAATGACACTGTGCTGAATTCCAAAGTCTTCATCTATCGTAATTAAACAACAAACCTTCCACATAGGCAGCTGCTAGCTGTAGCCAGTGGCTCTCTCTTCCTCACTTTCCTTTCATTCTCTTTTTCTCCTCAGTCTATTCCTTCCTTGACCCAATTTTCAATCCTCCTACTCTAATCTCTTAGCATATTTTCAAAACCCCCATGATACGCTGGCTTTTGAAGAAACACTTCATTCTTGGGGTAAGCAAATGTATGTAAAATGATAAGAATGATTTCCTTATTTTAACTACTTTGCGTAGTCTGTTTGGTAACAAGGAAGCTTTCCACGTACAGCACCAGAATCTTACAAACTGTAATCTGAATGGGCGTGCCTTGAAATCAAACTGTGAGTTTTTAGAATGCTCAATTTGGGGACAAGGAAATTATAGATCTTAGGAGAGCACAGAGTTTCTGAAATTTGGGACTGAAGTCTGGAAATTACAGAAACCTTTGTGCTTAAAGTTCAAGATGTCCCAATGACGAAAAACACCATGCTAATTTAAATTAGTGGAATTCTTCTCTGCCAAGTATTGACACAGCTCTGTAGCACACTTTACCCTGACCGGCTGACAGGCCCTAGGAGACTATGCAGCAGAAGGCAGCCTGGAGCACGTTCTCTGGGGTGTTTCTGTGGGAGTTCACAGCAAGTTCATGGCAACTTAGAGAAGTATACAAAGTACCCTTATGAAAACCCATGATTATTAGTCAATTTTAGCAAACACAAACCAATTTTCTAATGATTAACACTCAACCAAGTGGCTGAGAGAGTTTGTAGAGGTTTTCAGTGCCAGAAACAACAGCAGCAGTAGCTAACACACACTGAATACTCTTCTTTTTTGTTATCTTGTATTGTTTGCTTTAAAACTCACAAATCTTCTGCAAAAATATCATTATCTTCATTTCACAGAGAAGGAAACAAATTCAGAGATCTGAAGCAACTTCTCTAAGTTTACGTACGACAAGTGGCAGGGCTGATCACTCCATCCAATGTTTCTTCTGCTTGGCCGCCTAACTGAGAACACCTGCAATGTATGAAACCCCAAAGCACACTAGTTTTGAGGACCTGTTGAACATCTAAAAGACCAATAAATGTCAATAATTAATACAGTTACATGATTTATGACTTGATGGATGGTAGGCACTTGGTGAGACCTTTAAGCTACTGTGTTAAAAGGGAGATAAAACTCCCAGAGGAGCAGTGGAGTTACAGAGTAAATCTAAGTTCCCTCACCTGGATATCCATCTATTTAGTCTGCAAGCACTGAGAAGATTCACAGACCTGTTCAATCTATGTGCAAGAGGCGCAAAAACCAAGCAGAATAAACATAAGTGTAATTTTAAAAGCATGGAAAAATAGTCTGATAGGCTTAAATAAATTGCAGGATGCATACATACATCAAAATGAAAAAACATTTTGGTTTGTATATAATCCAACACAGTTCTTTCAAGATATGCATCTAGGCTCGGCGCCTATAGCTCAACCGGCTAAGGCGCCAGCCACGTACACCTAAGGTGGCGGGTTCGAATCCCCAG